AGGCTCAACAGTCTCTCTATCCATGGCAGATGCTCTAATCCTTTCATTACCTTCATGATCCTTCACTGTACTTACTCCAATGTCCCTCTTGTACTGGAGAGCCCAGAACTGGAGACAGCACCGAGGTGTGTCTTACAGCATCTGAATAGAGGGGAAGGATTCCTTCCCTCTCCCTGCTGGCAACACTCTTCTCAGTGCGGCTCAGGATGTCATGGGCCTTTGCCACAAGGGCACTTGACTGGCTCATGGTCAACCTGGTGTTCACTGGTATCCCCAGGGCATTTTCTGACAAGCTGCGTTCTAGCTAATCAGCCCCCAGCCTGTGCTAGTCCGTGGGGTTATTACTCCCCAGGGGCAGTGATTTGTGTTTCGCCTTGTTGAACTTCGTGAGGTTCCTGGCAGCCCATTTGTCCAGCCTGTTGAGGTCCTTCTGAATGGCAGAACAAAAATCTGATGAAACAACCACTGCCACCAGTTTTCTGTCCTCAGCAAACTTGCTGTGGTGTACTCTGTCCCATTGTCCAGGTTGTTAATGGAGGTGTTAAAAAGTACTGGCCCCAGTGTTAGCCACTGAGATACTCCAATAGTGCCTGGCCTTCAACTGGACTTTGTGCCACTGATCACAGCTCTTTAGGCCCAGTAGTTCAGCTAGGTTCAAGTGCACCTTACTGCCCACTCACCTATCCTGTACCTGATCAGTCCATCTGTGAGCATTTTATGGGAGACAGTGTCAAAAGCCTTACTATAGTCAAGATAACATCCACTGCTCTCTCCTCGTCCACTGAGCTAGTCATTTCAGCAGAGAACGCTGTCAGGTTGGTTGAGCATCATTTCCCCTTCGTAAATTCATGATGATTACTGCCAGTGATCATCTGCTTTATATGGTTCTGCTTTATATGGTCCACCTTCCCAAGGATTGAGGTGAGGCTGACTGCTCTAGTTTCCCAGATCCTGGTTCTCAATCATAGGAGTGCATGCTTTCTTCTAGTCCTCAGGAGCTTGCCTTGATAGCCATGACCTTTCAAAGATTATTGATCCTCTCTCAGCATTCATAGGTGCATCACATAGGTGCACACATGTCCGATGGGCATGTATATGTCCAGTTTGTTTAAATGTTCCTGGATCTGATCCTTCTCCGCTGAAACTGAGTCACAGGGACCTGGGATTACTGGAGGCAAGTGTTACCTGTAAAGACAGAGCTGAAGAAGGCACTGAGGGCTTCGGACTTTTTTATGTCCTTTGCTACCTTTGCTGTTTTCAGCAGTGAGTCCACTTTGTCTCTTGTCTTCATTTTGCTGATGTACTTACAGAAGCTTCTTGTTGCCCTTCATGTCTCTCACCATATTCAACTCCTCACAGATTTTTGGTTCTCCTAACCTCTGTCCCTGCAGGCTCAGACAATGTCTCTAAATTCCTCCTGGTCTCCTGTCCCTGCTTCTACATCTTGTATCCTTCCTTTTACATTTCAGTTTAGTCGTCCTTGTTCAGCCACGCAACGTCCTGCTACGTTTACTTGACTTCTTGTTCATTTAAATGGACCACTGTTGATCTTGGAGGAGGTGTTTCTTGAAAATCAGCCAGCTCTCATGGACCCTTCTTCTCTCCAGGCTGTTATTATGCTGGATTCTTCCAAGTAGGTCCCTGAAAATGTCCAAGTCTGCTTTCCTGAAATGCAGGGTTATGATCCTGCTTTTTGCCTTTCTCCCTCTTCTCAGGATCCTGAACTCCCATCATCTCAAGGTTGCTGCAGACAAGGCTGCCCCTGACCTTAACATTCCTGATCAGTTCTTCATTGTTTGTAAGTATGAGGTCCAGCAATGTGTTTCTCCTCATCAGCCTGTTGATTGCCTGTGGCAAGAAGTTGATCATTGAAACACTCTAGAAACCTCCTGGATTGCTGTGTTGTCCCTCCAGCATATAATGGAGTGATTCCAGTCCCCCATGACGACAAGTGCCTGCAAACATGAATCTTCTCACAGTTTTCTGAAGAGGACTTCATTCTTTCTCCTGATCAGAACTAATCAGCCGGCAGCCACCACGTCATCTGCATTGGTCTGCCACACCTGACCCACACGCTCTCAGCTGTCTCATTGCCCATCCCAAGGCAGAGCTCCATCTTTTTACACTACTCTTTCACGTAAAGGGCAACTTCTTGCCATCCCAGCCTGTCCTTCCTAAAGAGCCTTTATCCATGTATGGCAGCACTCCGGTCATGTGAGTTATTCCACCTTGTCTCCATGATCCCAAAGAGCCCTTCAACTGCAGACAGATCTCCAGCTCCTCCTGTCATCCTTCATGGCGACATACTGTGTGCATTTGAACAGCAACTTCAAATGGGCACCCGGTTGTGCTTATTTCCCAGGAAGACAATCTTAAGAGCTTCCCCAATACTGTTGTCCTGTCAGCACTCCCTTATTTATGTGCATATGCTTGAGGTGGTCCTCCCTGTGCCTTGTACTGTTAATCACAAGGTCTTTACTGTCCACACCAACCCGTGCCCTTCGCTTGCCAGCCTGGGCCACAGCTCCCTCAGTTGTTACTTGGTCAACATCTCTGTCCCTTGCCGTTCCTAATTAAAAGCTCCCCTCAGTAAGTTGGCCTGTCTGTTATCAAAGATGCTTCATTCTGTTAATTTATTTCTATTGCACCATTGGTACTGAATAATTCCCAGTAAGATTGAGCATCATTTCCTTCTTCCTGTGTAAAAAGGAAATAAAAAAAGGATCCCCTTCTGGAATTACGATGTAAAAATAGTATCTCATTCACTAAAGAGGATAAAAGCAGCTGTAACATACAGCAGTAAGTTAAATACAGTGGTTGCGTATTTCTGTGGCTCAGGAATTTTTCAGATTGCAACTATTTTGGTTTGTATAACTTTTTACTCAAAAAAGAAAAATAAAGCAAGTTAGGATACGTATATGAAGAAATAAAGTTTGATTTTTAATATGTAGAAAAATGGAACTGTGACCGAGTTTCCTTACATTTAAAAATCCTTGAACTTAACCTGAGCAAACATGTTAACACGTGTTCTGACTGAGCTGCAGTTCTTGGGTGACTGAAAGGTGTAGCTTCCCACCCCCATCCCCTCCCCTTTATGACTCAAAGTCTGATAAAGTCAACAGAAAAGATTCCTGTTGACCTTAATAAGCTTTGTGGGCAGACCATTGGAGAACACATAATACTGTGCATTCTCAGGTGACAGACACAGATAACTGCATTGATGTTTGCATACAAATTAAAGAGCAGCAATATAGCAGAGTGGCATTGGCAACAGTTACTACCAACATTTCCAGCAGTATCTGAGGATTCAACGTTATCCCATGATTTTCCCTTCCACAACAAAATGAAGATCTGATTGGAGAACCTGTGCAAAATTACTATAATCTGGGTTTTACCTGCAGTGCAAGTATGTGTCATTTTCTAGTATATGCTCACAGTCAGGGAAACGAAACAAATGCTTGTTTGGAAGCCCGTTGTACAAGGTGTTGGAAAGTGCTGATGTACCATGGTGTCCTTATTTCTGCTGCTTTGCTTGTGAACAGAGTTAAATGAGTACGTATGAAATACATACTAAAGTTGTACTTTGGTTTTGTTACATAAAGAGTCCTTAATGCACCTCTACCGTTGTTAATTTTGAGGAGCTATGTTACATCTCATAGAGAACAGTAGGACATAAATACTGTTAAGTAAGCATGTCCTAAGGTGTTCTCAACAGGCTCTTTTAAACAGTGCTTTTTTAGCAACATTAAGTTGTCTGACTGTGGTGTTATGGTACATGTAATTTCAATTTTTATCTAATTATTCAGATGTTGTACCTTTAGTGAATAATCAACGCATTAAGTAGTGGCACAGGTCTTAAGAAATATTTTTTTGAAAGTTCCCTTAAAATAGTTTTTGTCATTCTGCAGTTTCTCGGGAAAACACATGGGTATTGCTGCTTACCTTTTTTTGTGCTAATCTTTGACTGCTCTTCTCCAGCAATGTTATAGAAGTGTAATGATAACTTTGTTGTTATTGATAATTCTGGGCACAGAGAAGTCACAGGTGTGTTGGAGGTCACCAAGAAAATTCTTTGAGGAAGTAAGGAAGATAATGAGTTGGAGTGATAAACTTACATTTCAGTATCTGTATGTAATACTAGTTTGAAATGTGCTTGTAAATTAACTAGAAAATTAAGTAGAAAATATATAAAAAGGGATTAATGGAGTCATCTGAACTATTAACATGTGCTACAGAAAATATTCCAAGTTCTTAATCATTGTTTATGATAAGTAAGAGTTACTGATCTTTGTTTCTGCCTGAATTTATCAGATCTGTCAGCAGTACAGTAAAATTCTCAAGCAGACTGATTATACTAGATCTATCTCATGGTTGTATTACAACACAATTCCTGTTGTTGTTTTTACATAGCTTTTATTGTTATGTTATACAATACACACCAAAGTTTACTTACTTTGCTTATGGTTGTAGCAGTGTGCCATACCTGCAGACAAAAAGTAATTTGTCAGCCAGACACACCTTATGCGTCTAGGAAGTAGATGCATTTCAGAAAAAACACTTGCATTATATATACTCTGCAAGTTAAAGAAAACTTTCATTTTTTTGGAGATGATTCTAGTAAAAAAAAAAGATTAAAGTTATTTTACAGTTCATATGTTCTAAATATTTTTCATTTTGACACTTACTGCTAAAGAGTTAACTGAATATTGATTAGAAAGTGTTGATGCAGTAGTGAAAATCCATTTATTTTAGAGCAGTTAGAGCATTAGAGGGAAATTGAAAGGCATTCCATTTTGAAACTTAACTGTTTTGTAGATATTTCACAAAAGTACGTGATAAATATTTTATATGTAACTTCTAGTGTTTATAAGGCAATTGACAGAAAAATAAATGAAAATAGGAAGCTCATTATCTACAATAAAATTATTGGAGCAGAATTGTTTGACGGACGTCATTGTTATTCTTTTTCTTAATTTCTCTTTATTGCTTGTTTTGCACAGGAAGGAGTTACAAGAGCTGCAGAATCTTTACAGACAAAACATTGAACATACAACACAGCAGGCTGAGCTGATAAAGCAGCTTCAGGCTCTCAATACTGATACACAAAAAGTACTGAAAGACCAAGAAGATGCTCACACAGCTGAAACAACATCATATCAAAAAGTATGTAATTCTGCTTTGTGATCACAGGGTTCATTTTAATATCCATCTGTACAATATCAATGGACAGAGTAATCAAAGCACTGGTTAGTATTGCATCCTTTAGATCTCTGGATCCTTACAGTTACCAAAATATGGTTGGCAGAGTAACAGAGTTTATTGCCCTAATTACATTGCAGCATATATGACCCCTTGCTTACATTGAATTGATGAGCCTTAAAAATTAGGATTTATTTGCATTTGAAGAAAAATAGGAGTGAATGTCCGAGCAGATAAATTTCTTTATGTAATTTTGTGTTATTCATGGTTTTCTTCTTTTCCTCTAGTAAAACTTTCAATTACTAAATTCTCCAATTTGCTTTTGGTAATTTAGGAGAAGAAATTCCTTTCACTTGTAAATAATGTTTTTATGTGAATCTCAATCAATTTTACTGGTTTAAGATGCAAAAACTTGCTCTGTCAAAATTAGCTGGATAAATTGTTGCCATAACAGCTTGTAAAATGGGTAAGTAGTGCAAAAATTTTGAACTATATGTACATTTACAGAACAGATTAATATTTTTGATGAATGCCAGGAAAATGCTAACCTTTAAGAGCTCACACATGTGCACTATTCAGAATTTTTCCTTTTGAGTGTAACAAATTATATGAATGTGTTTTTCAGTCTGTAAGAAATACAGAATACATGTTTCCTTCCTTTTTAGAAACATTGAGAAGGAAGAAGACACAGAAGTTCTATATATAACTTCGACATACCTTCTACCAATCTTGGAACTGTTCTCAAACTATGTACTGTCAGTGCTTTTTTAAAAAACAGGTGTTTCCCTTTATCATCTTACTTGGAGTATGCAGCTTGTGATAAAATTGTGAAGCTGGGCCTAAGTCAAGCCAGAATCAGTAGTGAGTTTCTAAAGATGTGTTTAGTTAGCATTTTATGGCACATAGTGCCCGACACATTCTTGTGTACTTAACTCTGCACAAGTTTATCATTGACTGCAGTGACAACAGACTTTAAGTCTTTTATTCACTACAGTAGTAGCCCAGGCAACCTACAGGTAGACTTCCATCAAAGTTGTTCAGAACAGGTGCAAGGCAGGGACAGTTCTGCGTATCTGGGGCAAGATGAAGTAAATTACAGATTTTTGTTTTATTAAAAGAAAAAAAAAAAACGAACAAAACAACAAACACCAAAACCCCACCAGAATGCAAGTATCAGGAGTTCCTGTTTCTTTCATTTTTCATTCTCCAGTCTATACTTCTTTAAGTGTTAAATAGATCCTTTGAGTCACTAAAAAAAAAAAAAAAGCAACAAACGAAAAACAGAAGTGAAGATAATGTGAACTCTCTTCATCAGTGTTTGTAAGACAATATTCTTCCAGACTGGTTCTTCAATATATGAAAGAAAACTAAAACTGAGTTTTCGTGAGACTGTTTTAAAGTATAACAAAGCTGTTTAAAAAGGTCACTTTACGTTGTGTAATAGTAATTTGCCAATGTTACTCACTTCAGTTGGTGAAAGTGTTTAACCTGGCCTATGAAAAATAATTTTGCTATCATAAGTTACTTATCTATTATGGAAAATGGATGAGTAAACTTATATAGCTGTAGGGGCAAGCCGCTTCTAAACTGGCCTTGGCTCCAAATTCAGGACTGCTTCAGAAAGCTGGTTCACGACTCTGGGTCTGTCTTAGCAGGAGTTAAGACTTCTGCTTAGCTGATCATACAAGAAGAAAAAGAATAGTATGGTTTTGAAGATAAGCCCTTTATTTTGATAGCTGCCAAATACTTCAATTCACAGATGACCCTAAAATGTGCTGGTTTGAAGGTGTTGAATTCAATATTTTTCCAATAGAGTAGTAAGGTTTGGCTCTTAAACAAGCAAAACCTAACATAAATATTCTGACAAATTGCTATTGTGGAAGTGATAAGCTATCTTTTTGTAAAATACCAAAATATCTAATGATCCCGGGGAAGAAAAAAAGCGTTCTTTTTTGTTGTTGTTGTTTCTGTTTAATAAAAATATGTTTTAAAAAAAGGTAAAAAAAAAAAAGTAAAAGAAAAAATTTATTCCCTGCATCAGAATGGAATGCATCTAATAATGTTTGTGGCAAATTGAGTTGAGAGAACTTTGGAGGGAAAAGGAGTTCCTTTGTCATGACCATCCTGTTCTATACTTCTGATTAGAAGAACTATATAAAATACCCAACTGCAATAGTTTCAAAGTAACATTAATTTTCCAAATCACGAGATGTGCAGTCCTAGTGAAGTCACAGCAGGCCTTTGGAAAACTCAGCATCTATGAAAATAACACAAATGCCTGTTTTTCCCTTCAATAAGAAACGCAAACTATTGCAGACAAATGTGTGTTCTGTTTGTCTTCCATGCATTAATAATATGCAGCCTGCAATGGCTAGATAAGGATGTGTCAGCTATTGCATAGACATATTCACAAAGGAATATTTTACTGCTGCTCTGAATGGCGTTGAGCCTATCAGTGTGTACATCCTATGATATATTGTCCCTTACAGCAAGATCAATGACCTCTCTGTTAGTGGTCAGATAGGCAGTATATGCTACAGCTCAGGCAATGTGGTTGGCTCACATATTCCAAGTTCATCTTAACAGCCTGCCATTTAGGAAAAACTGCTCTTTCTGCTGATGTTGACATGGAGTACGAAACAGTAGACTGAATAATAGGAAAAACGTTTCTGATAAACCGCGTCAAGGTCATGAACTTGCACTGGGTTATGTGTAAATCCACTGAGGACCACAAATTCTCTTCCAAGTCTAGCTGTAGTGGGCAGCATACGCATCTGAAGATCTGCAATCTGTTTTATCAAGTTGTGTTGACTTGATGTACTTTTTTTTTTTCTTTAAGTACAAATTTTAAAGGTACTGTGTTCTACAATAACTCCTTTACGTTAGAGCATTTATGGAAACAAATTGGTATCTATTTCATATTGCAGCTGTAGTTCTCATTCTCAAGGATAGGGAATATTTTTCTAAAATGTATAGCATCTGTTTTAGTGGTCCCAAATGCTCCAGGGACTTCATTCCTGTGCTGGATTTAATGAGACTCAATAGATTTGTCCTCACCAACAATTTCAAGGTGGAGAGACTTCAATCAATACTAGGGATAATAAGACAAGAAGAGATTCTGAACTCCTTAGCCAGCTTATCACATTTTTCTGAAATTTACAATTTAAGACCTCTGTTTTTATAATGCAGTACTTTCCCTTGATCTAATGTGGCCTTCAGATTCCTTGTTAATCGTACTGATTAAAAATCTCTTAGTAAAAGTCCTTTTAGTGAAGTGGAAATACCGTTATTTGTCATTAAATAGGAAATTGTAATTCATGCCTTGAAACTGAGCTTCTGGAACAACAAATAGAGAATACTGTGGATAGTGGTACAGTACAGGTGTGATGAAGAAAAGCATTGCTCAATATTTAGGTATTTGGCATAAAAAGAAAACACATAAGAGTTGTCAATTACGAGGCATTGCAGAAGTCTGCATCAAGTGCACCAGAAAGTAGATACAAATAAGATAGCGTTAGGTATGTTTTCGAATATTATGTTTAATTTTGTGTCTGCAGTTGCCTTTGCTAGTCCTTCTCATGGTGTCAGTGTGTGGAGATAGTTTGCTTTTATTCAAGCCTGAGAAATTGTAATCAGAATGTCAAGTTACTGGCTTTGCCACCCTGAGGTTAAATTTTACCACTTTCAGTCTTTTTTGTGACTGCAACAACCTTTAAGCATAGTTAAAAATCACGTAAATGTGTTATTTTTATGTAAGCAGCATTAAATTAACAAAATAAAAAAATAAAACCTTATAGATGTATAAATGGTAGTTACAGTGCAGGTTGTCCATCCAACTGAAATGAAAAACATAAGTTCTTTCACACGTGATAAGGACTGAGAGAAACTAACTGTCCGGTCAAATATGCTGAAGCCCAGATCAGTAATAAGCAAATCATCATTTTTGTAGTCCACTTTGTCTGTGAAAGCTAAAAGAAACTCACATCTTTAATAAAGATTATCTCACACTTTAGTTCAAGCTTTGATACGGTTTTCTGTTGTTGGGTAGTGTTAATTAGGTTAGTCTATTCGTGTATACCAGACACCTGTACAGTTGGTCACACACTAGCAAGTAGAATTTGGCATCATATGTGCCCATAGGTGAAAGTTGGAGAAATGCTGGGTAGACTGGTTCTCTCAGGGTAACGTTAAACTCTGCACTCAAGGTGGTGATTCTCATGCTTGGAAAGCCCTGTGCTGGTGTTCTCAGTGTGCTGTAGTTCCTGTGGGTAATAGTGTAGATTGGTATCTGCAGAATGCTTAAGTATTTGGAGAAAAAAAAAAAGAAATAACCTGTAATTCTAAATCTGTCACTGATGTTTGCAAAACATCGTCTTAATGTTTCTGGCAACAATAATGTACTTTTGTACAATATGAGAACTGTAGATGAAAGAAATTATGTAAACTGGTGAGACAGCGAAAGAGGAGTTGTACATCAAGAAAGGAAGAAAAATCTTAAGATTAAGCTGACTTAAATATGTTTTTGAGTAATGCTAATTTTGATCTGAGTTAGAATTATAAGGTCTAAGTATATCTGAATTCTGTGTATAATCAGATTGGTTCCACAATGGAGGATTTTAAACGATACTGTCTGCAGTATGAATTATTAATGTTTTTCTGCAATGACTTGGACTAGTGTTCTTCACAAGCCTGCTTAATGTTCTCTGACAGTACGCAATACAGAGAGAAGAAATCTGAATGGAGTTTGGTAGCATTTCACAGAGAAGATACTGATAAATACAATCTTTGAGAGGGAAATACGTCAAAATTTTTGTATGTTCAAAAAAGCTATCCACAAACCCGACCATTAGATTGCCATATCAACACAAGGAGTTGCACAAAACTGACTAGATGGATGAATGTGTGAAGGCTACATTCGTGGGGTGGGGAGCAATCAGTCAGGAAACAGGAAATACTGGGTTCATTGAAGTGAAATAACTCATCATTTGAATTTTTGCCGTAACAACACTAATCAAAAAGACTGAAACGTCCCCTTCCTTTATGTTCTCTTCTGTTATTTTTGAGAAGGTATGTAGCTAAAGTTATCTGTTTTACATGGTTTCCAAAACAACAATGGTATTTGCAATTATGTAGTACTATAAAGTTGGGGCAAGCATGTCTTCTCTTTTAGCTTGTCCTAGTGACTCTTGCTTGCTTGTCTGATGTTGCTTGCATCCATTCTGTACTTTGTTTTTGTTTTTGTTTTTATTCTTAACCTCTCACTTGTGTCTGATATTTTTCTCTTGTATTATAGGTAAACTTGATGGTCTCTTATATTAAAAAAATCACTCTACCTCTGCTTTTCTGTTTTAAAACTAAATGCTGTGAATGTGCTCTGTATAGTCTGTCTGGAGTGCCTCTTCAGTTTCACTCTAGAGCTTCTCCAGCTGATTTCTGCCCTTGTTCTTTTCAAATTCTCGTAAACAGCATGATCTTGTAACATGCATTTTTGCAGTGGTGCTGTAATAGTTGTCCTAGACGTAACTTTTTTTCATTTGTGTCACTACTGTATGTTCAGTACTACTGTATGTTGGGGTACATTTACATGAAAATACATTTCATTTTCATACATTTTATTTCATACATATTATTTCCATGAACATTTACAGAAAATATATTTTAGGGTGTGAGCATTTAGATAAAACATTTAATGTGGGAGAGTATTTGTTTTACACCCCGTGTATGTGAACGGCTACTATTGCATTTTAATGGACGAATCTACCTTAGTGTTAGTTCCTCACAGGAATATACTTTTGAAGGAAATCTCCTGGAGGTCCCAATTCTTGGGTTTTAGCTGATATCAGAGAAAAGTCTGGGAGAGCATTAACTAAATATCTTTGGGATTATGGAACTGGAAATGATTTTGTAATGGAAAATGTTTGATTTGCATTCAGTAAAAGGGAGCTGTCTAAACCTAATTTAAAATAAATCCTGAACACTTGTATAATGTTAGTGTTGGTCATTTGCATCAACTATTTCAGTCTGCAGTTTTTTTCTAGTTGCACTATGATTCTAACTAACTTGCAACACGATAGCATGGGTTAATTATTTAGTTTACTGATTTCAGTGGCATTCCTCAGCTTTCCTTGGTCTGACCTAACTTGATTTTGCCATCACGCATCTTTATGTCAGTACTTTACCTCACTCCACTGTTACCAGGCTGTTAAATATTTTCTATCACGTGGGCAGGCTTTAGGGTCACATCTTTCGGTTCTCCTGGAAGTCTTAGCTTTGGTCTGGCATTTTTAGGTTACTTGATGACATTAAGCTCACCTATTGTTCTGATGAGGTTTTCTGTTTTAAGTATCTGTTCAAAGATGTAGAGAAAAGTGTTTTCTGGTAAAACCAGTTAAATCAATATAGGAAATTGTAAGGGGAGCTAAGAAATATGTGATACTTTATTTTTTTGTGTAATTCAGCTAAGTTACTCTTCCTTCCTGACTGATAAATAATGCTCTTGTGTCATATAGACTAAATGTATTACAGTGTTCTGATTTCAGATACTTTTAATCTTTCTTTATTTGTTTTTAAGTACTTTAACTGTAATGGTCTGTGCTGCCTGTCAGAGAAAGGACAGCTCTAAGGCATTAGAAAGAGATTCTCAAAATACAATCAGTGCAACAGTTTTTGCAGAGTGTAGTCTTGTGTCACTGGCGGTTGGCCTTTTTTTTTTTTTCCAACTGCTAAATTTTATAAAATGTATAAAGAATTATTTTAAATATTTTCCTTTTTCTTTCTATCTTGTAAACATAAATAATTTTTAATATCTCTTCTTGGGGATTAAACAATTTCCTTTTTAAATCTCATGTCTTCTTGAGGTTCTTGTAAGGTATAACCACTCACTTATATACAGGCAAGATTTCATTCTTTTCTGTGAAGCTTGCTAGTTCTGAGATAAATAATTTACAATGTTTTTGTCTTTCTTTTGAATTTTCTATCCAGTGTTCCATCTCTAGTCCTCTGATTTCCATTTTCTGTCTTGTCTCTCTACACCTGACTTTCTGTGTCTTTATTAATGGTAGACTCACTTCACTGTGTTCTGCAATCTTGTATGTTCTGGAATGTGCTTACTGCAGCGTGGTTAAAAGTTGTACCTCTTCTAAAACAGGGCCAGAAATGATCAGAAAATCCCAAAATAATCCCATATAAACATTAAGGATGTATTTAATCCACAAAACAGTGCATGGCTGTACATGAAAATATAGGGAGCACAACAGAAATTTGGAGCCTGTTTTAGTGGTCTGTGGACAGTACATAAAAATATTTCTTTTCACACAGGTAATTTTAATTTTAAAATTTCCTGATGTTAAATACCTTAAAAAAATAAGAATCTGAGTCCAATAAACTAGTAGTAGCTGTTGGTTAAAAAAAACGTATAAACCGTATGAAAAACATATAATATTTTTTGCACATTGCTTTCAGCTAGTTTTATACTTGAAATATATTTGGTTTGTTATCACTGTGTCCAAAGCAGGAAAGGTTGGAAAAGTTTATGGAAGTAAAAAGACATGCCATTTGTCTTGTCTTGACAAACGCTGACTACCAAAAATACCCATTAGCTACATTAGGGGATGTGGCTGCCAGCTAGAAAAAAGCATCATATTTTTGATGTTCTCCATTCATCTTACTAGGATGTTACCTTTCAGATACTATAATTACGACCACTTAAGTGCTGGTAGTCATAAAACCAGCAAATTGTCATACCAGTATGATCTAGCTAATGAGCTTATATAGTTATGGCTAGAAGTAACTGTGTCTTGATATTCCATTTGTTTGGAAGGACATTATCTGAAAAAGCATGTTTTTGGTAAATGAACTCTTTATTTGCCTGTGAAATACTTACTGATTTTCATAAGAAATTGACTAATCTTGTACTTACATTTCTAGAGATGATGTAAACTTTCTTAAATATGTAACAAAAATTCAGTAGGCACAGAAATTTCAATGTAAAATTTTAATTTTTAAGACTGTTATTTGAAATATCAGTCTATCTGGACTTTGAATTAATTTTGCCTTAGAGATTTGATCAATGATCTGCTTTAGAAATAGGCAAGAAGTAATTTACTTTATCCTGAGTGGGTTTTGAGAGCCCATGGGAGCAGAAAATAATAGGAAGAAAGAAAGGAAGGGAGATTATTATTTTGGAATTTCTCACAAAGTGGACCATTTTCAAATCTAAAAGTTGTGATTTTTTTTTCAAAGGCTTTAACTTCTAAGTAATGAAAGCAGACGAAAGGGGAAAAGAAGTGTACCATTTAAGTAAAGCTGACAAGACAAAGGGTAAAATGGAGAGTAAAATAATGTTTTTTACAAGTAAAATGACTTGTGTCAGTTCCTTGTACTTCTGAACATTATTGATAGATTTGGAAATTCTGATTTTCATATTTAATTCGTTTCTTATGGATGGAATGGCAGAAATGGATTTTCCAAAGAAAACTGTCAGCTGCAGAAGCACATGCCTTCTACAGATTATTTTATGGTAGAATAAATACTTGGAGGGAATATTGTTTATTTTGAGAAAAAAGGACAATCTAAGAAATGAAGGACTGACATGATGAGAGAGAGGAACGTATGCTTAGGTAGTAAAGCTGTAGAGTCATGTATTTCAGAATCTGTACTGTTGTTTATTCAAATACAGGTTTATTTTTCAAACTGGTTTTTATATTTTTTAATAAAAAGCTGATTTTGTTTTAAACAGTTTTCAGATGTTTGTATTGAAAAAGAAGGGTAAAAAAGGAGGTATGGGATGGTTAAGTTCTCTTATTCATGCAAAATAAATTCTCTTTGTCTGTTACATGGCACATACTGCTAGTTATTACTTAAGTGTAGTTCTAGACATTCGTTGTGTATATCCAGTATCTTTTGAAGTGTTTGCAGAATATATACAATATTCTGGTTTTAGCAAAAACAGTTGACCAAAGCGAGGGATAAGAACTTCTAATATCAAGTCTGGGTTTTATAGTTAATGTCAAAAAAATTCCCACAGAATAATTATTTAAACAACCATTTTATTCTTCATTCAAAATGTAGTGGGCATTAGTGGATTCACTATATTGCTATCGCAGCTATATTTAAAATGTTAGTTTTAAAAGATCAAACTACTCTATAAAAGGCAGGGATGATATTTGGTATTCTCACTCCTTTAATTTCATTCCCAGGACAAGTGTTTTGAGGTTTTTTTGCCTATTCTTAATAAGGGATTTTTTTTTTCTTTTGTATTTTCTGTGTTTTATATAAACTGTTCAAGAAGTAAAATAAATCCTGATTATTAGGTGTCCATTTCTATTCATAAACGCCATAAAAAAGCAACTGAAACTGATAATATTCTAATATAAGATATGTTTTCTGGAAAAATGTCTTTCAAACTCAAAGTTTCTGTGATTGCTACAATCACTGTTTTCAAATATATAGAGCATGACAGGAGGCAGGAGGACAAGAGAATTGTCAAAACATAAAAAAGAGAGGGTGATCTTTGTGATCCAGTTACTTAGATTATACTTTCTCTCCTGTATTTTGATGGCTGTCTGCATTGAAGTTATTTTTAATTCTGTTATTTCTCTCCTCTCATAGCTTTATAACGAATTGACTTTATGTTTTGAAACTGTTAAAACAAGTGAAATTCAACTGCAGCAAAGCTGTGCCTCTCTTCAGGATCAGTTGCTTGGAAAAGATCAAAAGATTTGTCAGTTACAAGAGGAACTTCAGCAGGCTTATGATGCTTTAAATGCAGTACATCGGAATTCTCCAAATTCTGAAGTACAGGTGAGTCTCCACTTCTAGAATAATAAAAGTTACTTCTTCTTGTATTAAATTAAGCCTCTGTACCAGACAGTTTTAAAGGAAATTGCAGGGTTTGGATTTTTTTAAGAAAAACTGTGCAACTATGCAGCTGAAGTAGTGTATCTATTTCTGCTGTTGCTAATAGAATGTATTTCGCAATTAAATCTGTCCTGGAAAAAAAAACAAAAACAAAAACAGAGACATGGTGTCAGTATTCAACAAGACTGTTATTTATATTCTCTAACAAAGACACCAAAAATAAAAATAAAACCAAAGTGATTTTGTTCCTGGAGACAAATTCCTAGGAAAAAAATGGAAATTTCTGCATTTCCTCTGTGCAAATGAAGTCTGTTGGTCCTGATTTATTTCATTGTTCATGACCATGCAACTAAACTTTAGATCATAGGTCTAAAGAAAGTATTATGGTGTGGAGAAATATTTGTCTAAAAATTTCTAAGCTTTGATGCCATTTGGAACTATTATAATAAATCTGTCATTCTCACTAACAGGCCTCCAACTTTACGAGCGTGCCAGATCTTACACGTGTACCTCTGGCATTTTCCAAAGGCCAATTTATGGCTTAAAGTGAATTTGAAAGGCTTTGAAATGATCTACCCACAATGATTTTGTAAACTTTGTTGCTTAGTTCCTTCCATAGGTTTGTCAATGAGATGTGCTTATGCATTTCGGTTTTACTAGCACTTTTTCCCTTGATTAAGCAGAGAAGGAAAAATAGCTAAAATGATAATGTTCTTTAAATGCAAAACTTCACTTAGCCTGGGTAGGTAAGGTAGATCTGTAAATAAGGATTATATTTATGAGGCCAAAGGAGCTTGAATATGAAAAAAAAAGTAGTGTTTAATTCCTCAAAGTTTGTGTAAGTAGTAATCTGCTGTAAACCAGACAAATCATAGAATGTAGTGTCTCCTGGATATGTTCATGATCATCGTTTCAGAGTTAATGTTCCAACTTTATCCAGAGTGTTACTCAAGTGTTTATCACAGGATTCTTAACCTGTATGTTGTGTGGTTTTTAAAGTTCCTCTTAATCTAAGGATTGGATAATTTTGTTTGACAAATGATAAAATATGTTCTTATGTCTTTCTTGTGGAGTGTTTACCTCTTGATACATTCTTGACCTTTTTCTGAGTATTAGAAATAATAGAGGGTTTTTTTTGTTTAGAAGATTTTGGAGGATTTTTTGAAATGTTATAAATACAAAATTAGTCTCAAGCTGTTTCTACTCTAAACACAGCTTTGCATGATGATTTTTGAATGCTCAGACTATATTTGTGAATGTATCATTCTACTTTCATCATCTTGTATTTTTCTAAAGAGTTTTTTGCAGTTTCTTTTGTCACACTATTTGACTTTTTATCATAAAAGCTTTTATTATATCTCTGGAGTATATTTCCTGAAGTTAAGGAGGCCTTTGTTGTCTTTCTTGAGTGATTTTAGAATGCTTTCCTCCATGTACAACACCCATACTGTCTAACCTGGATATTGTGTGACAGCTTATTATACAGTCATGTGGACTTTATTGTACATCCCATGTGGACTTGATGTAAATATTTGGCATTGACTTTCGTCTTTATTTTCCTGAATAGCTTAGTAGTATTAGAAAATTTTGTTACTAAACTAACCTCCTATCTTTCTGTATTTTCCGAACATGTGGGACACCACAGGTGACTCTCTCCCACTGAGTAAACTAAGCATTTATTGCTATTACTTATTTCTCATAATTAAAGCAATTCTTTAACTGTAACATTTTTTCTCCCCTTAAAATACAGCAGTTGTGTATCTTTAAGAGCTCCTAGTGTGGAGCTTTGCTGAAATCCATTTCAGATCAAAGTACGCAGTTTCACTGGGATGAATTTTGTTTACTTCTTGAAAGAACTTTGAGAAATTTGAGGTTAAAAGTAAGACTATTTTAGAAGCTAGTGCCAACCTACAATTTGTGATTCAACTTTATTTCCTTTGGATGTTTTAAATTAATCACATCCAGTGTAGGTGAACGGTTACTATTTCTTCTGTTGATTTATTCTATATCTCCTTCTAGTGGTGCCTGAACTTGCAGTACATTAAACAGTATGCTCCATATAAATTAGGATTCAAATATGAAGCAGCTCTAAATTACTTAATGGTGTACATTGGTGCAAATAATTATTTTCCTATGGCCTTCTGTTGGCTTTCAGCTATGTTTTCATTTGGATCCTGTCTTGGGCACTCTCCCTGTGCCTGGTGTGTTTGAAGGAGTGTACTTGTGATTATTTAGAGAATTGGCTGGGGTTTTAGTGAATGTGGATTCAGTGTGACCTTCTGCAGAAATGTATTGGTTGAACATTTATGTGATCTGTCAGAAGCTCAGTCAGGTGTTTACCAATGCTATTGAAGAAGACATGGTAGGAAGCAAAACCAGACGACTTACGGTAATGAATGTAATATAATAAGCTAAATACAGTGTATGAACCTTCACCTTCCAGTAAATTAATCTTAAACCTGGATACGATGGTACAAATGATTAGTGTTACTGAAGCAGCCTCATAGGGAAGGAAGTGTTTAGACGTGATGTCTGTAGTTGCTAGGTTTGTAGGAGAACCGAGATGTTAAGCACTATGTGCTTAAATACACTTAACATGCTTAATATATTGTTTTGACTGACATTTTTCCATTCTGCTGTAGCAAATGTCCCAAATTTTGTTGACATGTAGTCTTGGTCTGGTTGAAAGGCCAGAGTATGCCTTTAAGGAATGTATCATAATGTTCGTTGTTGGCTGCATGTTGATGGCAGCCAAATTTCCCAGTACCAACTTTATTATCTTGCATTAGCATTAGAAAAGTAATGATTATTGTGTGGTTTCACAGCTGGGGCTTCTGCAGGTGAAAAACATGATGACCTATCATTACGCCTATGACCTGTTAGATAATGAGAATCCTGGTTGGTTGTGAAGTTCTGAAGTTAAACATGATTAAGAGAACCTCCTAACTCATTCTGCTGTCTCTTGACTGCAACATCAGTAGAACAGGATGGATTTGGAATAGAGGCTTAATTAACAGGACACCAAAGCAATCTAGGCACCTACTAGTTTTCCTTTTACCAATTTTTAAATCAGTCCTTCCTAAAAAAAAAGTTAGTTTAAACGAGAATTGTATTTCTGCTGTAAAGTACTGATTTCTTTCGCATCTTCAGATGTGTGCCTTGCTGAAAGTTCATCCTGTGGGACGTGCTTACCGTCTGTCAACAGCACTAATATGTCTTCTTCAGACTTCCACTAGTCAGGAAGATTATATGTCAGTGTTGCATATGTTATCTCATACTTTTTCCTGGATTTGAACATTTTTTTGCTGTTGAAATTACATTGTAGTCAAGCAAAAATGTGTTTTATGTTATTTGCTTTATTAGCAAGAATATCTCAGTTTTCTTTCATTAAGAGTAAAATATGCCTTTTTTTAATGTTGTGATCTTATTCTGGTCAGTGTGGCACTTGTGTTGGTGAGGGCAAACCTTTGGTTGACTTTATTTTGACTATTCTGATGTGTGATGAAGAATTTGAATCTGCTTTAGGCTAAACTTCTGTTTACGTCATAGTATGTGTGCATTCATCAGCTCTCACATGCCTTTTCTCTGATCAGAGACATCAGTCATCTTTGAATTTGGAAGACTTTTTAGTTAGATCTGTGCTCATGCTACACAGCAAGAAAGAACAGAACAAAAACATTTTAAATAGTTTTCAAAACATAAGCCTGTGGAATTTGATTGATTTCACCTATTGTAATTGTTGTTTGGGTTCTGTTTCATTACTGGTGCTAATTTTTAGCTCTGAGATATATACCATACATTGAGTCATGTGGTTAGTATACCATAACTATTACCCATGTGAACAGTAAATATTTAAATAAGTTTATTGAACGAAGGCAGTCATTTCTGTCTTGACTCCTACTTTTCATATGTGTGCAGACATCAAAGACAGTAATAAGAGATACTTGATCAAAGAATAGTAATTTACAGACATTTAAATGTTTTTGCTTGTAACTAGCATCTGACAGGTATGTGCATTCTATCTAATACAGAATTTACTTGCACTTTTATAATAGTATCTTAGTTTCTCATTACGAAGATTTTAAAAACAGTCGGAATTGAAAATACCAGTAAAACAATGAAAGAAATTGCCCACAGGTGTAACTTGAGCTTATTAGGAAAAAAAATGCTGAATTGTAACTAAAATAAAAATCTGAGTTTAGAAAGATTTATATGAGAAATATGTAACTAAAAAGTTTCAAGAAAAACCACATCCATTGTTACCATGCAAAAATCCTTCAAGTCTTATTATGAGAATGTGAGTTGACTGGTTTTCTAACATCAGTACTTTGGTGATTTCCATTTATTAAGCTTATATAGTTCATTCTTTAAAATACTGATTTTAATTGAAATATAAATGGTAAAAACTTAGTTGGAGGAGGTAACTCATTTATTTTAATGGTTCTAGATTTTGTCCAATATACTTAGTATTTCAATGTAAATATTTAAAGTCCACTTTTGAGGCTTAATTTTCTGTTTCTTGTTAATGATACAGCATAACAAGAGGCAGATATCCTGTTCAAAGTGTGGTGCTCTAAATTTTGTTTTATAGATCGGCGTCATTTCAGTTACTGAAACTACTTCCTAACAAAATTCTTATTTAGGCTTTACTATTAGAATAGAGTGCCCATTTAATTTATTTGCATTTAAAGTTCTTCTGTCTTGCACCCTCTGTGGGTTGAAGCTTGCAACAAATATCTTCTAGTTTTTAGAAATGGTCAATTTGTTCAAAAAAGCATTGAAATTGATCATAAAGATCTCAAAATATAATTTTTCAAGCAATTAGCAAATACTGTGGTAAAAAGGTATTTGAGGGTGGTGAGGCAGTGGAACAGGTTGCCCAGAGAAGTTGTGGATGCCCCATCCCTGGAAGTGTTCAAGGCCGGGTTGGATGAGGCTTTGGGCAACCTGGTGTAGTGGAGGGTGTCCCTGCCCATGGCAGGGGGGTTGGAACTAGATGAGGTCCCTTCCAACCCAAACCATTCTGTGATTCCATGATTCTATGACAAGATGACATGAAATCCTAGTGAACATTTAGAAATATCTAATACTGCAGCACATTGTTTGAAGAAGGCAAAAGACTTAATCACTGTTTGTTTGAAAGTTTGGGCTTTGAAGAAGGTAAAACGGAACTGATATTGACCAATTTAGGTAACACAACTTACTGAGTAAATAATTACTCTTTAATGATGGAAAATATCAGTTGCATTTTTCAACTTGTATTCCCTTAAGCTGCAAACTGTCTGTTATTTGGAGATTACTACCTTTATAATAAAGACAGGTATAGATTGTAGCTTGTAAAGTTAAATTTGCTCCATGTTTAAATATTTTTGTAATAGAAAAGTACTGATATTTTCTGGTGTTTGCAATACCTAGACAACTATAATTTAAACTTTAAGACATGTGATCTTCAATATTAATGATGTCATTCTAATCTTAGTTATGTTTTTTAATAGCAAATTTATTATAGTAGCTTACAGCTAAACACTTTTTTATAAATTAGTATAAGCATGTCTCTGATTCTTGGTCAAAGAAAAAGTGGTAATTTGTTAGTTTCCAAACGTTTTGTTTTGTTTTGTTTTTAATGTTGTGTTATGAAACTGCACTTACAAAATGTCTTGAATATGTGTCTTTTAAACAAGGTGGAAAGGAGAAAGCACAGGTCTTTGTTGAAGTAGTAGTATTTTTTTTTCTGGAAAGTCTTTGTATTTGAACTTCACAATTCTGGGATGATATAGACGCATACAAAGGAATTTGTACTCTGTGGTTCAAGCCATGCCCTTATCCTCAGAAAAGCTATGTGGGGTTGTAACTGTCTAATAAACTCTGTGCGGTCATTGTTGCTGTTGGGATCACAGTAGACTAGCACTTGAACACCATAAAATGCAATTTCAGTTACAGTTGAGTGTGTTTTACTATGAAAATTTGGGACTCCACCTGCAATGTTGTAGGTGTGCCAGGATGCAGGCATGTGTTGTCTGTAAAACAAGGAATAGTGGGTTTGTGCAGCTTTTGAAGTTGTTTTTTTAAAAAAGGAAATAAATGCAGTGGAATTTAGGGAGGCACTGTGTAACTTGTGAAAACTAATTTACAGCCCGTTTTAGAATGTTAAGAGGACAGAAAGGAAAAACTGGGTCCAGTTTTGAAGAATAGTTTAATTTTCATTTTGTTTAGTTTGACATTCCATTTATCTATTTTCAAAGTACAATAATCTGAAAGGACCAGGATACTGAAAATGTGGAGTTTATAATGGAAAGAGCAACTCAACTTTAACTACTCTACAGTGGCACTATTCATGCTGCTATAATAAAACTTAAGAACGTTTAGTGATTTTTTTTCCTACAATTATTCAAAATTACATTACCCTTACTGAAAACTGAATGGCTTTTAGTGGATTAATTAAACTGTAGCTGGTTTGCCATCTGGGTG